ACCTCTGCCACCACAACACTTCGCAGGATGATGAGGATGATGACGACGATGGCGACGACACGCTTATCACCTTGTATTATTGGAAGATCATTTATGGATTTATATTTTATACTTCTACTTTCATATGCTAGAGTGATGTTGATAATTGCTTGAAAATATTATGTATGATTTCTTATTATTAGTTAGTGTTGACGGTCGAATTTCGTCAACAAGACCTTACCGGATTACCCCGCGGTAGCCCGTTGGGTTACCGGTTTTAAACTTGTAATTTTACTGGATTAGCTAGAGTTTGTATTAGTGTATTGTGAAGAAACTGTTATCCCGCTTATGAAAATAAAGACGAAGAGGTTTTATAGTGGTCCACCCTCTCAAATGGAGCTACATCCACTGTATTATATTTCTCTAGTTTTGGTTCTTAAAAATTATACGAAAAAGGGAGCCAGACCTCTTTCTCACGGGGGCTTTGCCCCTTTTATAGCGAATATTACATGAATCTTGCCCAATGGTAGGCGGTTTGGACTAATTTACCGTGTCTTCCATGGGGCCCATCCACTCGAGTGGCCTATGGCCTCATTTATCTAGACCGTAGCCCATCATTACCTTTTGGACTATTCAGTCATCTAATTTGTCCCCCTATTACGGCTCTGTAGATCCTCTGTAGCATTTATTGATTCGTTCCAGGTGGTTTTAGGGGATTGTAATCATTTCCTATGCAATTGACCTTCTCCAAACCCAGACGCAACCTTGGGATATTCCACTGATCACCTCAGGAGTCTTTCTTGGGATGTGGATCCAGTTGCTTACGTTCTGCCCTCTGCGCCCATGCCAAAATTTACCGCGGGTAGCCTCTCTCACGGCCGACTCTATCGCGTTATTTTGCATGAGCTGGCCTCGCAGGCCTCGACTGTGTATAGGGTCGTCGGTCTCAGTCCCCTTATGCATTCGGCTCTCATGCCATACGGGAGAGGCCAATGAGGCTCAGGCGTCGGGGGCTAACTAACGTGGCAGGCATGGGGCCACATGTGGCCGGATCATTGTTCGACGTGTTGATGTGAATTTTTCCACACAACAGCTGCCCCCCAGGTCGAGGCTTTTTTTCAGACTACCTCGAGCTAGGTCTGGGGTTTGCTCTGGTTCTCTTTTGGTTTGCTTCGGGCGCGGGAGCCTGACTCCAAACCTTCTTCGTAATAATGGCCCTGGTACTTCGGCACCCTTCGAGAAGCGTAAATGTCACGTCTGTCCAATCGCCATGCTGACGTGGCCTCCTATTTAAATGGGTGAACCTGGGCCGCTGGATCGTGACTCATTAGCTTCCCGCCCTTCCCCTATCTGTCGGATCAAGCTCCTGTGCTCCCATCGTTAGATGTGTACGTACCTAATCGGACGATTGGAGGTCGAGGTCCTTGGGTTAATATAAATAGTCTCTTCGTGTCTGAATAATTTTAACCCGTCTTGAAGCAATCGAAACTCTGCCAAAATCTCTCCAGGATCACTTACTCCCTTTTCGCCATTTCGTGGATCTCCAGCAACATTAATCTCAAGAGCTCGTGTACTTCTTCCGCTCATGATTCCCTGGTAAGCATCCCTCAAGCTTCCTTTCCTCTTATCAGGTGTTTACCGTGCCTGGAATAGTGGTAGATTATTTTCTAAGTGCTGGAAATGGTTGGGAATGGCGTGACAGGGGATGTTGGAACCTGATTTTGACATTATCCGCCATGTCCGGGACTGGCTATAGGAGTTTTGAGTGAGTCTGGGTTTCTGTTTGGCATTCTGGGTTAGTTTGAATGGTCGTCGCTTTGTTTGAGTAGTCTCCGGTTAGTTCATGCCTAGGCTTGAACAGTCGTTGCTTTAACTTTTCAACTTTAACTGCCCAAACGACTTATAGGAACTGGCCTTAGATTTTTTCTTTACAATAATGGCTTCTAGAGGGATTAAACGTCGAGGGGGATCATCTTCCGTGCCTCTCGTGAGGCCGGATCCAACGCCAACCGCCGAGTCTTCCTCTTATTCTACCGCCAGTGATTCACTTCTGATGGAGGTCGAGGGCTACGTCCCCGACCCACGCGACGAGGAGGACAGCGTCGATCGCCTGGTCGAAGGCGAGACCGCGGGGGAGGGCTCTTCCAGTGGTACTTGTTCCCTGATTGGAGGCGTTATGCACAGCAGCAGCGGCCGACACACGAGCATCCCTGTGGCCTCAATAAGGGCAGACGAGGACCGTCCGCCCTTCACCGCCGACTTCGTGAAACTGAAGACACGGGAGAGGGATATTGTTCGCGCGTATAAGAAGGGGCGCGTGGACGGCCGGTGGTTCGAGTATCTCCTACCGGATCCCCACTTTAGGGTGAGCCAACCACCCCTGGGCTATATGTTTGTTTATACCCGGGCCTTCACGGCGGGGATGACACTCCCCATACACCCGTTCGTGAAGTCCCTTTGTGATCTCCATGGTATCTCCCCCACACAGTTGGCCCCCAACTTCTGGTATATTTTTGCCAGTATGTGGGTTCTCTGGAATCAAAGGTTTGACATAGACCTGCCTTTGGATGAGTTTCTTTTTGTATATAAGCTTTGCCAGACCCCTAATGGTGACGGCTGGTATTTTTTGGGTGGTCATGGGTGATCCATGCCCATCTTAGGAAAGCCCTTTAAGCGCCTGGGTGTGAGAACATCTTTTAGGATACTGAGTGAGTTTCCTTCGACCGTCTATCACCACTGTCACCGTCCTTTTTTATTTTTATGTATATATCGCTGACCCTATTTTACTCTACAGTTCCCCAGGACCGTCCCTAACTCTCTGGGAACCGGCTGGCGAGGGTGAAGCAAGCCTTCAGCTTCCTGGAGACCTTTCATAGCGTCAGCGTCTTGTTAACACGTGACAACTTGGAAAGCTCTGGCCTGCTACTTTCTCTCCCTCATCCTGACAACACCGCTGAGGTCCAAGATTTCTTCAATCTCACCGCAGGAGGTTAGCTTTCTCCCGCCATTGATTCCTTATTATCTGTCGACCGTATACGTTTCTGACTTTAATGGTGATGCAGAGATAAAGACCTTGCAGTTGATGATGGCGAGGGCGGTCAAAGCGGTGGAGGCGACGAGGCCTAGGATGCTGGGGGCTGGATCATTATTTCTATTTTTGTAATATTGTTTTTTACTATTCAGACAATGGAAACCCTTTTTTATATGCATCAAATTGCCTTTATTTTTAATTCTGCTAAGTAAATTTTTTCTCCTTCTTGGAGGCGTTGTCATTTTACTTTATCCTTTAGGGTCATCGTTTTAGCAAATTCCTTAAAATTTATTAAGTAAATCGTCTCTCCTCCTTGGAGGAGACGACGTTTCATTTTACCCCTTAGCGTCATCGTTTTAGCAAATTACTTAAAATTTGCTAAGTAAATCGTCTCTCCTTCTTGGAGGAGACGACGTTTCATTTTACCCCTTAGGGTCATCGTTTTAGCAAATTCCTTAAAATTTGCTAAGTAAATCGTCTTTCCTCCTTGGAGGAGGCGACGTTTTATTGGGTCTATGTATATTTTGTGTCTCTCCTCCTCGGAGGAGACAACGTTTCATTTCACCCCTTAGGGTCATCGTTTTAGCAAATTCTTTAAAATTTGCTAAGTAAATCGTATATTCTCTTTGGAGGAGACGATGTTTCATTTTACCTTTTAGGGTCATTATTTTAGCAAATTTCTTAAAATTTGCTAAGTAAATCGTCTCTCATCCTTGGAGGAGGCGACGTTTTATTGGGTATATGTATATTTTTTGTGATCCGTAGATCCTTTACTCCCCCCATGTGTGTTTGAAAAACTTGATTTTTAGACATACATATTTTAGGGGTTGATTTTTTCACATTTTTTTTGGACGTTTACTACGAATAAGCTTTATTTATATTGATGAAATGCCAAACACAATAAAAATTTGTAAGAGTTCGTACACTATTGGTAGTACAACTTTAGCTACTCTGCATTCCACGGGTGTTGAATCCGTTTACCGGTGCAGCTTTTCAGAACATAGGTCCCAGGGCGTAGCACCTCCCTTATGCGGTAGGGTCCTTCCTAAGTTGGGCCCAAGAAGCCAGTATTTTTTGGTTTAGTATTCTGCGTCACCCTTTTTAACACCATATTTCTAGGAACAAACATTCTTCGTTTGACCTTCTTGTCGTAGTATCAAGCTGTCCTCCGTTGATAAGCAGTGAGTCGTAATTAAGAGTCGAGCCTTTTTTCTTCCAACAGGTCGAGGCCTCTGTTCATTGCTTCCATGTTTATGTCGTCGTTGTATACGACCGTTCTTAGAGTCGGCATCTCAATCACCACAGGGAGTACAACCTCGATTCTGTATACCATAGAGAATGGTGTTTCACCCATGGTAGTTTGACTCGTCATTCTGTATGCTCACAAGACTTTTGGAAGCTCTTCGGCCCATTTTCCCTTTAGGTCATCGAGCTTCTTCTTCAGGGTATACTTTCAGATTTTGTTGATGGCCTTCACTTAGCCATTGGACTGCGGGTGTATTGGGGCTGAGAAGTTCTTCCGTATGCCTAAGTCATCACAAAATTTACGTGTCGAGGCATTATCAAACTGCTTACTGTTGTTAGACACGATTGAGTGTGGAACGCTGAATCTACACATAATGTTGTTCCATATAAAGCTGGTGTAGGCTACCTCGGTAGTTGAAGTAAGAGCTTTCACCTCGGCCCAGTTGGTGTAGTAGTCCACAGCGACGATAGCGAACTTAAGGCCCCCGGGTGCAAGGTGTAAAGGTCCGATTAGGTCAATCCTCCATTTGGCAAAAGGCCATGGGCTAAGAATGGAAGTTTGGTTCTCTGGGGGTGCTCTAGGAATTATGGCATATCGTTGGCACTTATCGCAACGTCGAGCGTATTAAAACGCGTCTTTTTTAAGCGTAGGCCAATAGTACCCCTACCTCAAAACCTTAAGAGCTAGAGATTGTCCTCCAGTATGATTACCACACACTCCTTCATGGATCTCCCCGAGGACCTCTTACGCCTCATGATCATCTAGGCACCGCTGCAAAGGCGTTGAGAAGCCTCGTCTGTATAGCAAACCATCATATAGTAGGTATTTGGCGGCTCTGTACCTGATCCTTCTGGCTTCGTCTCTGTCATTGGGCAGCTCTGCGTTCATCAAGCACCGGACGAGGGGTGTCATCAAGTTCCCAGCCGTCTGAATAGTCAAGACTTCTACCGCCTCGTCAATGGTCGATTGTTCCAATTCTTCGATGGGGACGACCCCTACTAGGTCCGAATCTTTCGAGGACGCCAACTTGGCCAAGGCGTCAACGTTTGCATTCACGGCTCTTGGCACCTGTTGTATCTCATAGCTTTTGAACTTTACAAGCTCTTCTTTTACCTTCCTCAGATAAGCCCCCATCTTTTCTCCCCATGCCTGATACTCATCCTTCACCTGCCTGACCACTAATTGAGAGTCACTAAAAATTTCAAGTCTCTCAATTTTTAAATGACTTGCTAATCATAAACCTGCGATCAGCGCCTTGTATTCTGCTTTATTATTCGACGCCTTGAATTTGAATCGTACCGCCGAGGTGATTTTGTGATCTTTCCGGCTTATTAGCATGACATCGGCTCCTAACCCAGTTTCATTCAACGCTCCGTCCATGTAAAGCTTCCATCTTATTTCCTTAATTTTTCCATCGGCGGCTAACGCCGGTCTGTGGGAGAACTCGGCCAGGAAGTCCGCCAGTGTTTGTCCTTTGATTGCCGCCCTCGGTATGTATTTGATGTCGAATTGGCTTAGCTCTACCGACCATTTTAAGAGTCGACCCGAGGTTTCAGGCTTTTGTAACGCTTGCCTTAGCGGGTGGTTCGTTAGGATTCGTATGGTGTGGGCCTGGAAATAGTGTTGAAGCTTCCTCGAGGCCACCATCAAGGTGAGAGCTAACTGTTCCATTTGGGTATATCTTAATTCGGCGTCTAGGAGCCTCTTGCTTACGTAGTAGACCAGTAACTGGATCCATTCTTCTCTGATCAATATTGAGCTTACGACATGCTTTGATACGGACAGGTATAAGCTTAGCTTCTCGCCTGGTATAGGTTTTGATAGGATAGAAGGTCTGCCAAGGTGCTCTTTCAGCCTCTGAAAGGCCTCTTCACATTGTGGTGTCCACTTAAAATGCTTACCTCCCATCAAGGCATCAAAGAAGGGAGCGCATTTATCAGTCACCTTTGATATGAATCTATTAAGGGCGGCGAGGCATCCTGTCAACCTTTGGACCTCTTTTGGTTTTGCTGGTGACCTCATATCCTACAAAGCTCTTATCTTCTCCGGGTTGGCCTCTATTCCTCGGTTACTGACCATGAAGCCAAGGAACTTTCCTGACCCGACCCCAAAAGCGCATTTCAAAGGGTTTAGCTCATGCGGTATTTCCTTAACACATCAAACATTTCACCCAAATGGTCGACGTGTTGTCTTGCCTTGATGTTTTTTACCAGCATATCATCGACATATACCTCAATCGTTCTTTTGATTTGTTTAGCGAACATCTTGTTTACTAGCCTTTGGTACATTGTCCCTGCGTTCTTCAAGCCAAAGGGCATTACCTTCTAGCAATAGAGGCCTTTGTCTATTATGAACAACGTATGCTCTTCATCGGATGGATGCATTGGAATTTAGTTATAGCTAGAGTAGGCGTCCATGAAACTTAACTCGTGCCCAGCAGTGGCGTCGATCATCTGATCTATCCGAGGAAGCGGGAAACCGTCTTTTGGGCAAGCTTTGTTGAGGTCGCTGAAATCGACACACGTTCTCCACGTCCCATTAGGTTTGATTACTAGGACAGGGTTTGAAACCCATCTGGAATAGTGAGCCTCCCTAATGAAGCCGTTATTAATGAGTTTGTCGACCTTTTCCTTTAAAGTCTCGTACATTTCTTGATTTATCGGTCGGCATTTTTGACGTCTTGGGGGTAAGTGGGGTCGACGTTCAGAGCATGACACATGACTTGGGAGTCGATGCCTTCCATGTATGCATGTGTCCAGGCGAACGCATCTATATTCTTTTTCAGGAATTCCTCGACCTCGATTCTGAGCGCCGACGGCAGATCCGACCCTATCTTCAATACCCTCGTCAGTTCTTGCTGATCCACTTGGACTTCCACCAGCTGCTCGATTGGTTGGGACCATGATTCTTCCGTGACTCTAGGATCTATGTCCTCAACTGGTCCCTGTTGTACCATTCTCGTCTCTTGTTTTCTCGGCTGATCGTATCCGCATATAGTGTCTGAGTATGCTACTCTAGACTTGTATTGGTTGTTTTTTATTTTCCCTACGCCACCGGATGTTGGAAACTTGACCTTCTGGTGATAAATGGCGGTTATCGCCTTTAGTGCCTAAAGGGTCAGCCTTCCGATCACAGCGTTATACTGTGAGCCTCCTTTTATCACCACAAAATTCACCATTGTAGTTGCCTGCCTGGGTTTCTCTCCCACGGTTATCGGTAGCCGAATCGTCCCTTGGGGGATGACTGATCCCTCGTGAACCCATACAACGGTCGGGACGTTTTCTCTAATTGTTCCTTGGGAATCCCTATTTTTTTCCAGGATGTTAGAGAATAAAATGTCCACCAAGCTCCCGTTGTCCACCAGGATCTTGCATACGGTGTGGTTCTCAATAATTGCCTATACCACCAAGGCATCGTTGTAGGGGAAATGGACTCCGTTTGCATCCTCCTCGGTGAATGCCACGTCAGCGCCACCAAATTTGGCTGTCTTGGCGGTGGAGAGAGTCCAAAACCTCTCCTAGTATACCCCCTAACTTCGTGTGCATAACTTTTCTGGGACTTCCTAGAATCTCCCCCGTGATATGGTCCTTATGACGCCGACCGGCTCGCGATCTTCCCCTCACCGATTCTCCTCTCGGCGTCGACCTTTATTTCTGGGACCATGACCTCGCCTTTCAGCCTTAAACTCTTGCAGCCTCGCCTCGCGGATTAACCTTTTGATTTCATCCTTTAGATCGGCGCAGTCGTTGGTGTTGTGGCCGACATCACCGTGGAACCGGCAATACTTGCACTGATTCCTTCGATTTTGGTCCGACTTCATCAGTTTTGGTCGGCGTAATAGGTTTCCTTGTCCGACCCGATTGAATACTTCCTTGACGCCTACAGTAAGCTCGTGGTAGAAGTCATATCGTTGGAATAGCCGAGACTTTCGATTTTCCTCTTGCCTTGGCTTCTTGGTCTTCGGAGGGTTTGGCGTCGACGCGCTCTGCTTATCTCCGTTTCTCCCGCCTCGTCGTTTCTGATTGTCTTGCTTCCCCGAGGTCGACCATTGTTCTGGTCCTTTGTTTTTATTAGACTTGTGCTCGGGATCGTTTGCATCAACTTTTTCAGCGTTGATATACCCTTGCGCCCGTTCCAGAAACTCTTTGTAGGTGGCCGGTGGCTTCTGGTTTAGGTCACGTTTAAACGGTGTGGCCTTCTTCATACTAGACCAGGCCCCCATTAGAGCCTCTCAGTCCGTCATATTCGTTGTAGCAATGACGGCTTCCCCATACTTTGCAAGCCATTTTTTTAATGACTCGTTTAGTTTTTAGTATACCATCGTCATGTTTTGCTTCGACTACCCCGATGAACTGAAGGGAGAACGCTTCCTTCAACTCCTCCCAGCTGGAGATGGACTCTGGTTTGAGTGTTCAGAACCATCTTCAGGCAGAGTCCGTCAAGTGGTTCTGGAACGCTCGGCAGATTATTTCCTCTCCATATCCATACAGGAGCATGTGCCCTGTGTACATTTTTAAGTGATCGTCGGGATCCCTTATGCCATCGTACAGTGGGATTGTCAGGGACTTGTATTTGTCGGGTAAAGGTGGCGCCATGATCTCTACGGTAAAACGGTGGTCGTGAGTTCGGCTGGAAGTGATGTCGACGTTGACCACCTCCGCCACCTGTCCTAGATTTTTTTGTAGGCGGCTCACCTGGCTTTTGACGTCTTTCTTTAAACCAGTGACATCACCTATGAACTTTTCTTCTAGGCTCGTCACACGTTCCATAATGGCTTTAACCTCTTCCGTAGAGATTGCAGAGTTGACCCCTTTCAAGGCTCCTGCCTTCTTCGTATTTAGCTTATCCTTCAGGTCTCCGCTTCTTGCACCAACCCCAAATCTCTTGGGATATTCTTTCTCGGGTTCCGAGGTGGCACCTCAGGATTTTCTAGGCCGGTGAGTGTTATTCTCTCATGGGTTCGTCGTCTAGAGGCCCTTTGTCGGCTACCAAGGGACTTGGACAGTCGAGTTCTCAAGTTATCTCCCCTGGCGTTTTCACTGTCCCCGATCCCTTCCGGGGCACCTTGGCGGTCACCAGCATCCTGGTTCCCAGCTATGGCAGCTCATGGTGGTCTCGGGGCATCTTCTAAGGGAGGCATATAATTTCTTCCTTCCAATTGCTCGACAATAGTCGTTAGTCCTCGAACCAAGTCAGTCAAAGTGTCCAGCTGGGCCTGCATCTATACCGGGTCAAGCTATGGCGTGCCTGGGGGTGTAGCTTCATCCCTCGCCGGGGGCTGATTCCCCTTGTCGGGCTGATTTCTCTTACTCCCATTGTTGGTTGGATGTGTGGTATTTTCCTCTGTCTAGTTGTTTGGATTTGAAGCACCATTTATTCTTCTCGGAGGCATGATTGTTTGTTGTCCGGGGTCAGCCACGTGAACCAGAGATTCTGGGTTTGGTCCCTAGTGGAGTCGTCAATTGTTGACGGTCGAATTTCGTCAACAAGACCTTACTGGATTACCCCGCGGTAGCCCGTTGGGTTACCGGTTTGAAACTTGTAATTTTACTGGATTTGCTAGAGTTTGTATTAGTGTATTGTGAAGAAACCGTTATCCCACTTATGAAAATAAAGACGAAGAAGTTTTATAGTGGTTCACCCCTCTTAAACAGAGCTACATCTACTGTAGCAGATATTACATGAACCTTGCCCAATGGTAGGCGGTTTAGACCATTTTACCGTGTCTTCCATGGGGCTTATCCACTCGAGTAACCTATGGCCTCATTTGTCTAGACCGTAGCCCATCATTACCTTTTAGACTGTTCACTCATCCAATTTGTCCCCCTATTACGGCTCTATAGATCCTCTGTAGCATTTATTGATCCGTTCCAGGCGGTTTTAAGGGCTTGTAATTATTTCCTGTGCAACTGACCTTCTCCAAACCCAGACGCATCTTTGGGAAATTCCGCCGATCACCTTAGGAGTCTTCCTTGGGATGTGGATCCAGTTGCTTGTGTTCTGCCCTCTGCGCCCATGCCAAAATTTACTGCGGGTAGCCTCTCTCACGGCCGACTCTATCGCGTTATTTTGCACGAGCTAGCCTCGCAGGCTTCGATTGTGTATGGGGTCGACGGTCTCAGTTCCCTTATGCATTCGGCTCTCATGCCATACGGGAGAAACCAATGAGGCTCAGGCGTCGAGGGCTAATTGAAGTGGCAGGCATGGGGCCACGTGTGGCCTGATCGTTGTCTGACGTGTTGATGTGAATTTTCCCACACAACAATTAGTATGAATTATCAGACTTCTATTATTATTTTTGTGATTTATTACTGATTTTATATTTATATTTAAAATAATAAATTATAGTTTAAAAATAAATTAAAAATAATAATTCAAAATCAAATTTATTTTTAAAAATAATTAAAAGAACGTTTTAAAAAATATATATATATATAACTTTGAATTTAGGAAACTTTCAAAAACAAATTTATTTTTAAAAATAATTAAAAGAACATTTCTAAAATAATATATCACAAGATGCCGACGCCAAAAGGCATTGGCAACTTTGAATTTAGCAAACTTGTTGGCGCCTTTTGCGTCAGTAAATTCTTTAAAAAAGTGTTTGTAGTATGCTTTTTTTGGGAATTTATCGACACAATTATGATGTGTTTTTTGGGAATTTATCAACGCAATTATGCCGTTAGAAACTTATGACTAACTTAGTGACGCATTGACCGGTTACGGTGACGAACAGAAGAAAGAATGACACTATTTGGGTTGGCGGTTTGGGCGGAGGGATTAGCAAAAAGGGTGAGCGTTTTGACTTTCAAGTGAATTTTCACAAAATGAAAGTTCAACAGGGTTTAAAAAGAACTTTAGACGAAGATTTCTACGGAAACCGTCGTTATATATATAAACATTAGATGACGGTTTCTGTAGAAACTGTCGTCTAAACCCGCCAGCTTGGAAGCCGGTTTTTTAACTTCATTTTAGACGACGGTTTCTCTATAAACCATCGTCTCATAAGAGTCGTTAAATGC